CCACAGAGGCAGTCCTAACAGTGCATTAAGGCACTCTTGATCCTACATAGGGTTTTCAAAAAGTGGTGTCTGTGGTGTTAGTGGCAGAGGGGGAGGCATCCAGCTGCTGAATCATTCCACAGCATTTTCCCAAAAGGAGCATTTCCTGCTTGAATAGTAATAAATAGAGAAAAACTCTTTGTAATTGGCTAATGACACCTGACTTCCACACACATTCTGAGTTTACTAAGTTGGAGTTTTTGAGAATAAGTGTTCAGTGTTTATTTTCAAAGATGGAGTATTTATCCTTAGACAACATCTCGTTGCAGTGCTTTTATTTCTGTTAGAGCAAACGACAAATGGAGGTGCAATCATTTTGTCAGCTTAAACTGAGAGGAAGGAAATAACACAATAGGCAACTGATGGAGAAATGTGTTTTGACTGACTGGTGGAGCACACTACAATAGAGCTAATCAGGAACCAGGGTCCCTGCATAAACACAGCCTCACAAAATTGCAATTTTATGAATGAGTTGCTTCATGTGGTTTCCTACCACTTTTCACCTTGTGTGGTAATTTTCTGCTGTGCCAAGAAAATGAAAAGCAATGATTCTGATCTGGTAGCAGGACTTGCTGGTGATAGTGTGTTACAGGTTTGATCCACAAAGTCCAGGTGAGAACCCTTGGCTTTTTAAGCAAGCTTTTAACTCTTCAAGTTTGTTCCCTGTCAGCCAAACTACAGCTGTCACATTTATATTTACATCTGCTCAATTGGCTCTCACATTTGCTTTGTTGTAAGCAGCAACTTGAAAGATAAAGCAGTAGCAGGTCAGGCTTGAAGCATTTTACTGCCAGCTGCTGAGAAATCTCTTGGCACAAGCTGGGATTTCAGGTGAGACAAAGGGAGTCAGGTACACATCTTTTTAAAAGGTATAATGCTGAGCTTCTCTTAGCAACATGTGCCCTCTGGTTAATATATTGATTGAGAGATTTGTAAGCAGTGAGTTCCGTTGTCATCTATGGTATGCAAGTTGCAGTGTCACTGCCAAGATTGGTCTTTGCCAAAGCAGATGTAAGGCATGTCTGGAAGCATATGTATTTGAACTGGGACGGAACAAAAGCTTAACTTTGGGTATGAGTTAGTTTCAGATTAAGGATTTGGCGTGCAGTTACTTGCTCCAGAGGATGCTATTCAAACAGATCTGTTCTGCTGTCAAAAGGTTAGCCAGATTCTTGATTGAATGATACTAGAGGCTCTGTGTTAATTACTGGTGGGAAAATGCCAGATCCTTTGATTGAAGGAAGTAGGTTGGCATGCAATTGTCTCATAGAAGCTTTGAAACAATTTTGTTAGATTCCCTGCGTTCTGTTTCATATTTAAATAATTTTTTTCGTTTCATCATTGCAAATTACATGAGCAAATGTCCAGGAGGTACACCAACAGCAAAATTGGAGAACAGCAAATGGACTTTGGGTGCTTATCACGAAAAGAGGGAAGTCATTTTCTACCACAAGGAAGAAGAAAGCTGTTCCCCAGCATTTGACCAGTTCCTAGCCACATGGGAGTTAACATTTTAGCTCCCTTCTGGTCTGGAAAACACTCAGCTGTGCTGAGCCACAAGAAAGAGGCCCTTCAAATCATAAGCACCTGGATTTCAGTGCATGACCCTGGTGCTGACTGGCTTCACACTGGAGCAGTTCAGGGCCTGGAGCACAGGTGATGCCTGTGGGCATGTAGCATGCCCTCCTGCATGGAACGGGGTGGAGGATCTGCATTCAGTTCACAAATTGTGCTTAGCTGAGCCATTCAAAATATGCAGTAAGACTTGAGTTCATCATAGGAACAGTTTGGGCTCCCTGTCTGTCACTGTGGATGCTGTAAAATGTGACTGGAATGGAGTGGGTACTGTGAAGCTGCTTCAGAGGGAAGGTAGGAAATAGTGTGGGAAAACAGAACTGTGTCAAATAACAAACAGTGAAGGAACTGGGGCTTACTGAGAAGCCTGATAATTTTTCTAGCTGGTTATTACTGCTTTTCCCTAAGTAATGATATCCTAAGGCTGTTTGTTTTCAACTGGTGTTTGCTTTTTTCAAGAGAGCTCATTAGTGTGTCTGAATATGGAATTATAGATTATTGGAACAGTAGGGCTGTGGTGGGGAAAAAAAATGAGCCTCCAGGCTCTGAGGCTTCACCTGCACTTAAAAGTAGGAGCCACTCCTTTAAGGTAGTTTTCTTCCTTAGTTGGTCCAGTGAGTAGCTAAACGTTGACCTGTGCAGCACATCATGCTCTGCTTTATCTGACAGAGATCACTGTGTAACCACTGGGGAGATCAAATCTTCTACAGGTCTCTTCTCTGCTTTTCTGCAGCATTTCTGGTGCAACAGCATACTCCTTGTGACTATGACAAAGAGAGAATAAAAGTATCATGTATGCCGGGAAAGAAAATGCACTTGTATGAACAGCTGCAGAGATCACATCAGTGTTGATTTGTACAACACTGTCTCTTTAAAACTCTTACGGACAAACTGAGAGACAAGCGTTGTTGGAATCACAGCAGTGTGATTATTGCTCTAAAATTGGTGTTACTTTTGAATGGGATGAATATAAACACAGAAGGGAACAGCACTGTAGACAGTTCCTGAGCAGTCTGGCTGCTGAACAGCCTCTGGCCATGATCACCAGTCTCTTTTGGGAGGCAGATGCATTGCCTCCCAGGTGATGCACCTCCCAGGTGCCTCTGGGTAAAGAAATGTCTTTCCAGCTTGTCATCCAACACCTGTGACTTCCAGCCATGCCCTAGGTGAGTGCTGTTCTCCTGGGACAAGGTACAGAAGCCTCCCCTCAGTCTCAGTTCTGGGCTGTGTCTGTCTGATAGCACTTCCATAAACAAATCCAGCCAAGGCAGTCCCAGCCTGGTCACAGGATGAAATCCTGGAATGATGAGGAAAGGGAAAGCAGCCCCTTAGGCTGCTGCACTGTCAGACCCAGTACCTTCCAAAGGTGGCTCTGTCTAGGTGGCCACAGGAATTGCTGCCTTGGGAAGCTGATGTCATCCTTATTCCAGTGGCTTCACCATGAGAGTGTTGTTACTCAGAGCAGCCACATGCCACGTTCCACAGCATTTGGAAGGGAAAAAAAAATTGTAGACAGCTGTATCCCAGCTCTGCCTTTGACAGCTCATGAGGTGGATTCAGTTTCAAAGCAGAATTACTGCCCCTTTGATAATAGGAAGAGCATTTACAGTACATTTAATTGTTTTAATTTGACATAGCTTTGTGGGGGGTCAAGTAAGAGTTTATACTGTTGGCTTTGTTAAATACATGTTGATACAGCACTAACTTCTAGTTGTTTCCCTTGAGCAAGGCTGGAAATCAGTGCCACATGTCTATAAACTGTTCCTAGAATTAAAGAAACTTCTTGTAGAGGAATGGGAATTTGAATAAATGTTGGTTTTAGACTTCTGTCAAGTACAGAAATCATATAAGTCTCGAGTCCCTTGTAGCTGAAAATATCTTGTATTGCCTTTCTGTTTAAGAAGGACCAAAAGTGAATAAGTGATCTGATGTCTGACCTCTAAAATAAGAATATTATTATTATTATTTGTTTTCAGTAAACATATCTGACATTGAAGAGCCAGCAGTTTGTTTCCTTCTCATCTCAAAATTCCTTTGGGCCATTTCAGTTCCTATGGAAAGAGCTCTGACATGCTGCCAGCTCATTATGGTGATTACTCTTCAAGAAGAATATGGCAGAACATAACCCTTTAAAATGTGACATGCAGGAGCACATTTAGACAACTTCCAAAAGCTGCAAGTAAAGCTGAGGGAAACAGGGGGAAGCCCTGGTCAGATTGGGTTACAAAGGGTGTAGGTGGGAATGGGATATGAAGATATGGGATATTAAGTAAGGAAAGCCTGAGCACACTGGCACAGCGTGGATGAAGCTGCTCCAGCAACTTTTTTCCACGTTCTGCAATGAACAGAGTACAATTTAGTACCAGAAAATAAAAATAATAATAAAAGAAAAGCATAAAAATAGCAAAAAAGCCTGGAAAATTGAAGAAAAAGCTAAGGAAAAAAACTAATGTAAGTAGTTCCAGAAACTGAAACTCTAAGGCTGTTGTGGATATAAAATTGTTTTGTAGGTTGACAGATGTTGTTGTTTATTTTACAAACTCGGGTGAAATAATTTCAGGTGATGAGTTTTAACAGGAAAAGTTTGAAGGTAATTTTGAAATGTTTAATTTTGTGTGGTGCAAGATGCTATACTTAATTAAATACACTTCTCCCCATTTTCAGGAATGCACAGTTATTTATTTCAAGCTAAGCCAAATTTACAAAACCTATTTGCACAGTCTGGCCCTAAGTTTTCAAACAGAGGCCTGAAGCCTGTGCCTGTAGCTATGCTTTTTAACAGTTGTGTTACCTGCTTTGCTGGAGCAGTCCCCTGGCAGGACAAGGCTGGGCTATTGTTTCCTGCTCTCAGATAGAGGGAAATATTTCTGCTCAGCAGGAGGAAGGGTCCCCAGTAAGGCTTTGAGGAGAGGGTCTGGGTACCCCACCTGCTGAGGTTGGAGCCTAAACTGCTGTGGAGCTGCTGGGGTCCTTCAAGCACAATTACATTCAAGTTTTCTGTGTATTGTTTTGGACAGGCATAAAAACATGTTGTGACTGGTGACACTGAGATAGAGTTGTCTGGCACTTCAAATTCATTGTGTTAACTTTGCATTGTGAGGGTCTGAAGTTCTTGTTCTACTTATTACATGTAAGTTAAAAGTGAGAAATTGAGTTTGGTTTGAGCTAAAAATGTAATTCTTGAAACAGGTAATTTCTGTTGAATCAAGGGATCACCATGGCCACAAGGTAGGTGGTAACACATTGGCTGTGTAACAGCTATAATATGTAATAAATGTTTACAGGCCATCAAGTATACAAACATTTGATTGTTTACATGACAGAGCTTTTCTTTTACAGTCATTGGTCTCAATTTTTCCATTACATTTTCTCATTTTCTTTTCTAGCTTTACTCACAGACAAACCTCCAAAGCCATTGTTCCCCATGGAGAACCAGCCAACTGTTATAGATGTCCAGCTGGGTAAGTCCCCTTCTGGGAATAATAGATCCTAAACTTCCACTCTGGTAGCAGATGGGATAAATTGAAAGTGGTAAGAAAGGTTTAGTGGTAGTTATTACATGCAAATCAATTTGCAGCTTCTCATTTATAACCATAGAATTTTCTGCCACGGTAATATAAGGGAATGAACTTGTGTAACATCAGGGGATGGCAATACTAATTGGTTACAATGGGTATTAATATAAAGCACTGATGTTGTTCTTAATAAATTATTGGTAGAGTAAAAAATGTGTCTATATTGGTGCTGTATTGGTCAGTTGATGTTCACCCTAAGACAAATGTTCTCATAAAAGAAGTGCTGATTCCTTTAAAAGTTATTATAAAGCATTGCATTTTCAGATTGTTCTGAATGTGTACCAGAAAGGGCTGTTGACTAAAATGCTTTTATGCTTTTCTCACTCTTGTTATATATTCTTCTGTGAATGCACATCTCTGAATCTCAGCTAGCAGCCTCTATTTTCTGTCATGTTAGAAAATAATGTTAGAGAGTTCTGCTAACTTCGGGGAGCTGTAGGGCATTGTGATACTGAAAGAACTGCTCAGCATTGAGGTTCCAGAGGTTTTTTTCAGTGATTTGAAAATAGATTTCCAATTTTAAGAGGCAGAATTGGAGTTGCTGTTAAGGACTGTAGTGCCATGAGCTTAAATTACAAGAGATTGCATTGCATATGGGGATTATTTACTCAGTACTGAAACTGTGGCACTTTCCTTCTTGAGCTTGACTCTCTTCCTCCTTTGTACCAAAGCTGGTTAGAATTCAGAGGTGGAATGGTGTTTAATGGCAAGCAGGGTCAGTGTGAAACATTTTAAGAAGGCTGCTGACATTGTTGTAAAGCTGTTTGTATTTGTGAAATTCTGTGGGTTTCTACTTCAGATGAGTACAAGGACACATTCTTGTTCTTAAACCAGGTGCCAACAATGTCAGAGAGGCACTGTGGATGCTATGAAGTATTTAAAAATGGGGATTGAATTCTTGAATGTGAGAATATAAATTATTTGTGACCTTAGTGATTGTTAAAGATTCACTTTCTCTCATACACCTGAATTGACTCAGGAGTCTGTAAGGGCTTGCACAAGGAAGGCTGCAGTGGATCTGGGAAGCAGCCAGTGCCAGCTGAATTCTGCAGACAGGTGCAATCTACATATTTAGGTTCCCCTCCACATGTAGCTGAACAGAAATTGCCCCTAAACCAGGATATTAAATGGACCTGGAGCCATAGTTAAAACCCTACCTGAGTTAACAGCAAAACACAGTCACTGAAGTTTGAATCAGCCCAAAAGGCTGAATTCAGTCTCCTGGTCTAACTTCTTAAAAGTCAACTTTCTAATGATTTCCTTTGGGAGCACCCTGTCTCTGTATACATCTGTGTAATAAAGGCACTCAGAGTGCACATTTTTGTTTCCTGCATTTTCATTTCATCTTCATTTTCTCTTCCAAGTTCTCCTGTTCTAGCAGGACTCTGTTGGTTTTGCACTGAATTCTTTGTTGTTGTTTGTGTGAAAATATTTTGTTCTGGCTGATTAAAAGGAGGTTTGATTAAAAAAAAACAAACCCCCTCCTCCCCATGGAGATGTGGCTCAGTAATAGGATTTTGGAATATCTCTAGAGGGAAATACAAATCTTGCATCTTTATATGCTAGAATGTAATCCATTAGTTATCCCTTAAGATCAGGAAATTTACATATGGTGCTTTTTTTTCTGGTATGTTAATGGGTTTGGTTACTGCCACTAAACCATATTCATATGATGGAACCTTAACTTCTTTTGCAGCAAAGTTCATTGATTTCCCTCCTGATTTAACTTGGCAAATAGATAAAGCTTGAAGATTCTCAGGGAGCACCTTCATCTTGTGGAGGCCACCAGCAGCTTGGGGCAGGAAGGCTGTGCTGGCCTCTGAAATGTGCCAGAGCCTTGAAGGGACTGGAAATCATTTGATTGCACAGTGTAACATGGGGAGAAAATTTTGTGTAAGGTCACCTGCTGGAATACTTCATTGAAATCTTGTTCAGCTCCTAGGAGTTTTGAACAATTGACATTCTTTGATATTTTATTAGATATTAAAGGAAAATTTCTGTTTTTACATGCCCTTTAGCCCATGGACTCAAATCACCCAGTATGCCTGATTTTTCAGTAGTTATGCAAGTATGAATATGTCATAAGCTACAAAAGAAATGGAGTTTAATCCATCTACTTGTTTTGCAGAGATTATTTTAGTTTTCTATTGGAAAGCTAATCTTTAAAGAAATAGCTGTCCTTCCTCTATAAATAGAGGAGATTAATAATTATCTACTGTCTTTATCCTTAATGATTAGCACGATGTGATGCAAAATCTCCCTGGGCCTCTAGGCAGGGGCCTCACTGTTTGGCCTTACCACAAACTTCAATATTCACCTTTTAGCTTTCAGATCTTATAAGAAGTTTTAGTAAAAACGGGTATGCACAATTCTTATTGACAGTGGATAAAAGAGCTCCTTCAGGCTTCAAACATGGTCCAGAGTCTGCCTTGTTCTTCTTAAGGAGCAGGAATGTATTTCATGTTTTCTGTTTTTCTTTGGAATATGACAGAGATCTAAAACCAATCCCGTCAAGATCAGACAGAAGCAGAAACTGGAATTTGCTTTTTTGTTTGTTTTCTGTATTTGCTTGTGGTAGAGAAACAGAGCCAGAGATGGGGAGGGTTGACAGGAGGACAAAAGAGCATCCCAGAGGACTGGAGAAATAGTCCAAAACAGTTTCACTTGGTTGCTTTACCAAGTCAGATAATAATTTCATCTCTGGGCTGACCTAGAAAATAGTGACTGATTTTTATTTTTTTTATTGTCCATTTACTGCTTCATTTTTTGTAAAAACAAAACTAAAAAAAAAACCTCTTTTTTTTTTGTCATTTAGTTTTTTTCATTGAGATCGGTATAGAAATAGTTCTTGATTGCATGGCATGTGATACATTCAATCTTTTTCTACCTTGTTATTAACAAATAATGTTTGTTCTTACTATATAGTATATGTTTTGCAAATATATGGCATTACTCTGATAATAAAATGTTCTACTTAAAAAAAAATATTTCTGAGCTGTCTTCATGGCATTAAAATCAAATTTGATGGTACAAGCCAAAACACACACAGCTGTTGTGCTCAGGAGATGGGGTGGCTTTGGCAGAAGGCCTTTAAGATCATCTCCCATGTGAAGCTCTGACTGGGAATTTATTAAAGTGCATGCTATTGTGATTCAAAGTTGAGTTGTTCAAAGACTCCTTTTTTAGGAGGTTGGTATTACTTTGACCGTATAAACCTACATGTGTTTATGGATTGTTCATTCCAAATTCCTTAATTTAGTTTAGAGGATTTCTTATGTGACTTAGAAGAGTAAAGATTGAGACCTCAGTCAGTTGTCTTGGGGCTGTGAGCAGTGTTTTAAAGATCTGTTACCTATTTTCCCATACAGCTGTCTGACAGCAAGTGGAGCATGCTGTGCTGCAAGTCTTAAGATGACACATTGGTACCTTGCTCTGCTGATTTCTTAATTCATTTGTTACATTCTTTTCCAGCTAACTTTGTTCACTCTTAGTGCTTTGAGAACACTGGAAGAAGGAAAACCACTCCTTTGTGTTTTGATTACATGATTACAGAGTAGGTTTCTCCTCTGAATTTGCACAGTTTTAGTAGCACAAAGAAGCCAAAATCCCACTGACCCCTGGGAGCTGTTGTGCTGCCAGCTCTCAGCTGGTGTAAAAGCAGTGTGGCAGAGGCATTTGTGGGAGAAAGGAAACACAGTTGTGCTCTGCTGATTTTTGCCTGGACACAGATTGTAAAGCTCTATATCGAGACAGTCTATGTATCAGCAGCTGCCAGAGTTCTCTAGCTTGCACCATGGCTGCTATTTCTCATTTGTGTGGTCCATAGAGTATAAAAAAAAGCTAAAAACACAATACCAAAATAGATGCTAAATCTGTTAATTCTGTATCATGTATTACAGTTACTGCAGTGTTAAGTTAATCTTCTTATGAATTACTTGAGTGGAATGACTTTTGCATGTTTGGGTCTCTATTAATTGAATATATAATTACATATCATTGGCTTTTCAGCTATGTCCTGGTTTTGTTTTCAGGTGTTTACTTAAGAAATGTAGCAGGAGTGTTACAAAGCAAAGCAAGAATCCTCTGTGTTAATTAATTTACTGAACAGGAAGGATGTCAAGGGGTTTAACCTGCTTTTGTCACGGTAGTTTCTCTGTTTCTAAAGATGCTGAGGAAAGAACACATAGTTTATGAGGATTGTCATTATTTCTAAAAGCTGAACTGTTTGGAAAGATTTTGTTTCTAGAAGATTTAACAGCACAATTCCCTGGGACTCATTATTAGACAGATCAATAGAGATCAATAGAGCTACTGTAAAACAAGTGCAGGGGAATATACAAAGTTACATCTGCTGACAGGTATAGGAATAGACTAAAAAGAGTTAGGAATAAAAAAGCCCTTTTGGTTTGCAGCAGTGGCTGTAAGGAATTATTTGAGAAGTGAAAATTCATCCATTTACATTTTAAATATACCACTTCACTCTCCACAGTCTTAATTTTCACTGAGATGCCAGTTGTCTTCTTAAATAATAATTGTTAAAAAAAAAAAAAAAAGCCCTGCAAGGTGTTTGAGGCATTCATTGAGACGTTCATTTCATACCAAGCCTGTTTATTCAAGACAATCCAGCACTGTCTCATTACAGATTTGCTCATTAAATCTTGCATTCTTCATATTTAAAGGTACAGGTATTTGATGAGCAGTTGAATAGAGTGATGATCTTGGACAGAAAGCAATACAGAGATTTTGAACTGTAAAATGCTTCAAATAGAGCAAGCGATTTGAAAGTGAACATGGAAGAAATTCTTATTTAGTGTGCTTGCAGTGTGCACTGATACTTGTCTGTGGTCAGGCCTCTTGAGTACTGAGGACATGCCTTTTGATTTGGG